AGCGTCTAAATAAAATCTATATTTAATACAAAGTTGCGGTTCTGTTTTTATCGTTTAGGTGGCAGTGGAAAAAATGTATGAAAATATTCTATTATTCATAATGTCGTACATATACGCTGAGGTACAGGATACACGTCTGTCAGAATACTAAATTCTAAAGACAATTTGGAGTGTTTTTGAATATGCTTCTTTATGTTGTTTACAGAAAAAACTGCATAAATACCTTCAAATGAGTTTAGAATAGAAGTAAATATATACTAATATTACTATCATTATCGTCATTAAAGACAAAACGTTGTTTTCCCGTGCAAGATCGGGTTTATCGAGTCAATTTAGCACAGAAGATGTTTCTTTTTTTTTGCAACAGGTCAAACGTCTATTTTTAAAACCATTGTTTTGGCAGCAGAATGGAAGACTGTTTCATTAAACAAGTTTTTTTTTTTTCCCCCGTGTGTTAAAGATGTAATATCGACGAGGATGACGATGGTTATGAAACTATTCTTTCTTCGTCTCCTGTAAACATTGGCTCGCGAGCGGACGACCACCAACGCAGACGATGACCCAGCGACCCTGCTGTAAAGTTTAATGTGAAGGTGCAAATGAAAAGAAAGTTCCGTTTTCACTTGTCCAGGAGGAAAAAAATCCCAAACAACCAATTAATTCCTTTTGAAAATAAAATCAGTTTTCTGTTCGTTTACAAACTTAATATTTGTTATGTATATATGATGTCCGCAGTTCCTGAAAAAATACCTAGCCTATTAACACAATGAATAAGTCACAAAAACATAAATAAACATTATATGGGTATTATAGATTGCCTTCTATTTAATCTAAATCTATTTTTGTTTTACTTCTTCGCTATGTGCATGACATGTATTTCTGAAATTTATGATAACCAAATCCCGTTGAGGCGAACTCGTACACCTTCATGACATGAAACACATCCAGCGATTTAATACAATGCGGAAACGACGATAACATATCATCTTCAACGAATTTTGAATCAAAAATGTAATATTTGCCCCCCAAAAAATCGTATGATAGGAAAAAAGGCCGTCGGAATCAGAACCGTAACTACCGAATCCATGCGTAAGAGAAACCAGGGATTGTGAAAGGACGGCTTTTACGTTTTGACTTTGTTGTCCTTTAATATACTGTGGGATAGCAGTTTCCCTTGCAAAGATATAGGATTAGGAGTATTTCCAATGAAAGAGCAGTTAAGTCGGGATAGTGTGAACTGTCCCACCCCTGCAATAGGCTAAGGCAGAATTACAGCTTGTAAGATTGGTATCCAGCAATCTCCCTGGAGACTGTTCTACTTGGGTGTTCCAGGCATTGCAAATTTGAACCCAAGATGGGTATTTCTGTGTGCTCCTTAAGGTACAATACCTATCGGAGACTTTGTGTTCATCTAAAAATATTTCCCATGGTATATGAAAGGAAAACAATACTATGAAATTGTTACTAAATTATTGAACTAAAACTTCAAAAGGCAAGGCATGACTGAGGCGTTTTTTTTCCGCTCTATTCGTAGTCCATCGAACAACAAAAAAACTGTATTTAGCATTAAAAAATGGCTTCACAATTCTTTTTAAGTACTAGTTGCATTTGAGAGCAGTGTTGTTCAGACACGCTATTTATAGGACTGGCTTGATGGTGGGTTAAATCAGTATAATCTTTATTCTGGCATTAAAGTGCGTTTTCATTTTAAAACTAGATCATCTGGTGAATTGATTAAGGTAATTGAACAGATGTAAAGGGGTTTCGTTTCGCGGATGTGTCGATTGTATATTGTCTTGCTCAGTTTTTTAGACTCAGATTTTTTTCTTTAGACGTTTGAGATTATTTTGGACGATTTCATCCCGAAATGTCTTTTGGGCAATGCGTGTAGCTTGCTAGACCCTGCATTGAATTTTATAAATACTATTGTTTCTTTGTGGATGTCAGGCCTTATTCGGTGAAAATATGCAAATAGGATGACTGGTAAGAAATGTAATTAAATCGGGTTACCAAAGTAAAAGGATCAACAAGCTGCCTTATGGACCATCGCTGATCTTGTTGCTATAACAACAGTAAACGGGTTGCCTGTGATGTACTACGAGAGCCTTTCGCAAAGGCACTTCGATCTCTGCTGACATTTCAAAACCTTTTTGTGTCTGTGTGTGTGAAATCTGCTTGGGTGAAAATGTGCCTTCTTGCCTTTTAAAGTCTGCATCAGGTTATTTGAAAAATGACCAGGCGACATTAAAACAAAGCTCTTTTTCACATATTACCGTGTTACAAAATAAGTAGAAAAATGTGTGTGTGTGTGT